TTTTTAAAATTTAAAAAACCATAACAATTATGCATTTTAATAAGCAAATTTTCTTGGGTCAAAAAATTTACTTTGTTAATTCAATTTATTTTTTCCAAAAGTTTCAGGTCTGTCAAAAAATATGCAAGCATTATTTAAAGTTTCTTATAATTTAATGACATATTCAAAAAGAGATTTCAAATCAAATTTTTAAAAGACTAATAATTTATTATTAGTTAAAACCCGGATATAAGAGAAAAAAATTATTCCGACAAGACACTTATAGTGAGGTTACACTCCAAACATATCCATTCTATCTTAGAACAGTACACAATATCTTTAAATAATTTAAAAATTAAACTGCAATAAACATAAATTTTGAAACATTGATTTTTAAAAATTTTTTTATTGGCAAATTCCATGGGCAATGAATTTTTCTTTTTTGAAAAACAATATTAGACAAAATCAAAACCAAGAAACAGTTTTGAAATAATGGTTTTTATTTTTTCTTGAGATTACAGATTTGAAAAAGTAAAATTAATCAAATTTAAAAATGAAAATTTATATAAAAACTATTCGAAAAATAAACATCCATGTCATTTCTTTAATTTTAATAAGTTTTTAAAATGAATAGTCAAAATAGTATTACTGTTGATGAATCAACAAATAATAAAATGTATTCTAAAAAAGAAAACTGAGTTTTTTTAAGATTGAACAAATAATCTGTTTTAAATCTGTGGGGAGAACTGTAACTGTTTGTTTTTTTTCATCAAGAAAATTTAAAAACTTTTGTAACAGAAAATGTTTTTAAGAAAATGTGAGTCAGGTTTTTTATGTTTTTACCCATCACATTTTGATTTATAAAAAAAAAACTGCAGAAATGGTTGAGAAAAAGAAATTTCGTTCAAAACTTACGTTTTATCAAAAATAAATATGAATTAAAATAAAATTTACTAAATTTAATTATCAGCAGATTTATATGCAAAACATTCTTAAATGTTTTCATCCATTTTTATAATACAAAAATAAGGAATTACAATCATATGTATTTACAGAGATAACAAATATTATTCAATCTTAATTGGGTAAAAAGATTTCAAAAAATTATACCAGATGCTGACATCCTACTTAAAAAGAGAAATCCAAAATATCAACCTAAAATTTCCTTGAAAAAAAATAAGTTTGAAACATCAGGATATCTCAAGCTTGCTTATATATAAAATTAAATAATGTGTATTAAAACCAAAGTGTTCTTTCCCATTTTGAAGATGTTTCTAATTGAACGACCTGGTCAAAGTCGTTTTTGGATTTCAATCACAGACAAGACATTATTTTAATATATATATGATATATTTATACACACAAGTGCAATATATATATATATATATATGTATATACACAACATTACAGAGATGATATGATATACAGGGTGCGATGGATAATTTGTCATCTAAATTAAGCAAAATTGATAATAACACTGATATATCATTTTAACAGGTATATTTACCAAAATTACGCAAAAAATATCTTGAAATACTAGAGTAAATTTATTCAATAAAATCGCCATTTGCTTCAACCACAGCCTCCAGACGACTTTGAAATATCCTGCAACTTTTCTGGATGGTCTTCTTGTTTAAGTTGGTGAATGCTGCCATAATCCTTGCATTGTTCATCTTAGGTTTTACAAGGAGTTTTGTTGGTCTCTCGCTCAACTGCACCTCACACATAATAATCAAGGGGGTTGCAGTCTGGGGAGTTAGGTGGCCAGATGTAAGGGGTGATGTGGTCGCAGAAATTGTCTGACAGCCATGACTGGGTTCTCCTGCTTGTGTGGCATGGTGCAGAGTCCTGTTTCCAGACATAGGGTCTTCCAGCAGCCACCCTCTTGACCCAGGGCAGCACTACCTCCTCAAGGCACTTGATGTAGGCCTCAGTGTTGAGTCTGAGGCCCTCACCAAAGATGAATGGAGTTATTAACGTGCCATCATCAAGTGATTTTCACTTGCCGTACCTTTTGTAATCACCATTAGACTCATCCAACTCTTTCCAAATCCTCTCCACTGTTCTCAGATTGATGCCTAAACACTCTGTAATGTTCGTATAGGAGCTTCTGGCACAAATTCTAAACAGTACAGCATGCCATTTCCAAATTTTTTGTGGAGTGAATTGCAACATGGGGCATTTTTTCTCAAAGATGGTGCCCAACTGACCCTACTATACTGTTCAGGCGACAAAATCAAAAACAAACAATGTACATGAACAAAATTAAAAATAAAAAGTGGCGACAATTTACCCATCATACCTTGTGTATATATATATATACAAAATTGCTATATATATTTTTTCAAACCATATACATGCATATTCAGAATATATTCAAAATTTTTTATTTTTTGAAACCAGGAGATGTTTGATGCAGAGTTTTGGTGCCCAGGAATAAAATTCCTTATCATGAATCAATAAACTGTTCTTTTTTTAAACATTTATAATTTGGAACAGATACTACACTTTGATCCTATCTCAAATGTTGGATAATAGTGATTTACTAAACATGACTTAGGTCTGAATTAACACTTCAAATATGGAGTTTTAAAATAAGATCTAACTTGTTATTCAGTTATAATCGATTTAAAATTATTTCAATTTTTTGAAAAACAAATCAAAGAAAAATAAAAAATGGATAATAATAATAATTATATAAATTTAGGGAAATTATTAAAAAAATTACAATTTAAATTAGTCTAGCAAGATGTGACACATGGTCAGTTTTATTAAAAATTCATATTATATATATGGACCAGATTATATCACTTCAACAATACAACATTGGCATCCAAAATAATTTTTTTATATATCATTGCAAAGGGGAGGTACTGTTTTAATTTGGAATGCCAGGAACTAGGCATCCTTTGTTACAAAAACCATGGACTGTCAAAAAACACGGTAAAGAGAAGAACAGTTACCTAACTTGGTATTTACTCTTCTCCCTACGGTGACGGGATATGGTACAAGGCTGGTTTAAAGTGGTTTTAAGGTGCACACACACACACACATGGGCCAAGACCAAAAATTGCCTGATCATCATAACCAACATCATGCTGGATTCATATTCCCCCAACCTTCCCTCTTTGGTGCAATGTGGGAAGTGCTGCTGCAGGGTTGGAATACCCAGGACCAAGCATCTCTCATTTATTTGCTTTGTTCTGTCTGAAGACTGAAACACAACTGTGAGATAAAATGTAATTTGTCCATCCGAAAGCATATTACTTCACTTTGATCTCTGTCCCAAAATTAACAATGGTGTCATTTTGATTCAAAGTAAAGTGTGCAGATGCTACACTTTGATCTTAATATTTATTACGGAATAAAATCCCCAAATTTGACACAAGGCCAGAAAAAAGTGGTAGAGCAAGGGTTGAAATCTGACTTTAGGCAAAGAACTGGAGAGGAACCCTTTGGCCCTTGATTGAGCACAGCCATACCCTGACACATTCCTGTATAAATTTATGAATGACAGTATAGTAGGACAGGAATCTGCCTTGTGGCAGAGAGAGAATTGTTTATTTTCCATGAATGACAAAGTTTGCAGTTCATACCCATGTAAATATTATGATTTCAAACAATGATTTTCAAGGCTAGCAAGCTCTTCATATTTGAAAGATTTGGCACAATACAATCCATCCACCCCTATTTTCTAATGTTTAGTTTTATAACAAAGAAAAGAAAGGAAAGAAAAGAAAGAAAGAAAAATCAGAGAGAGGAGAGTCTCTTTTTTGTTTGATGATTCCATGTGAAGATGAGTAAATATTGAATATTAAGTTTCAAGACAAGCAGGCTCTTCTTAGAATATGAGATCAACACAATCTTCCCTCACTATTCCTTACTATGTTTTTATAATCATACCTAGTATTTATGCCATGGGGTCAAAAAAATTTTAATTAAAATGCATCATTCTAAAACTGGACATCTACAACATATAAAGAAAAATTACAATTATAGCCATTTATTTTGTTTTGATTGTAAAAAATAACAAAAACAGCAACAAAAGAATAAGATAGACAAAACATTTTAAAATAATTAAAAAAATACTCTTTTTTAGTAAAAAAATAATTTTTAGAATAAAATGTTATTACATTAACAATATGATTTAAAAAAATGTCAAAAAAAATTCCTTTTGACAGTAAAGTGTTTTTATTTAATCATTTCACTCCAAGCAAGGCAATAAAGTCACTAAGACACAATGCATTACAGGGTTGAAAGTGAAAATTTAATTAAATGACTTTAAAAAATTAATTTAAGGAAATTTTTAAAAAGGAACATTTTTCAAGAAACGTAAAGATTAACAATTGACGTTGCATTTAAATTTTGAAAAAAATTGTTATCATAATGAATTTGAAAAATAAAGGGAATTCATTAAAATTTGGAAGTGTGATTTTTTCATGTTAGAGTAGAAGTCGTGATTGCATCTATCTAATTCACCAGTAAAATGGTAAGACCTAGTTGCCAGTCTAGTAGCATGCCTATATTCATGCAGGAGAATAAGTTCATCTGAACAATTGCTATTAAAATATTTGTAAGAAAGATGGAGGGAAGTCGTGTCATGTTGGTGAGAAAGTGATTGAAGTCGAGATACCTGATGAGGATTGGTTACATTACAGTCTCTTCTAGTGTAACCTTGAAAGTGGCCAGTATAATATTTAATCATAAACTGAATTTAAGTAAAGAAGATGCAAGTGGAACAAGAGGAAAAAATGGAACAACTAATTTTGCATGAGACTTTATTATACTAATTCACCCTAATACTTATCCCCTCAAAATTGTTGCACTGGGGCAGACTACACCTCCCACACCCCTCTAGGTCAACCAATGTGTGTTGGTTTTATGCTATACTTAGTAAATATCAACACAACATTAAAGCTTTTCATCTATTCTCTTGGAGTTGTTTATATTATATTTCTGTTACTAAATTCCTGCTTCATGCATTTACTTTGAATGTGAAAAAACGTCAAAAGACTGTTGCACTAAAAATCCATGCTGTCAGGCATTTTAATTAAATCTGCATGTCTAATGCATAGGCTGTCTTTCTGCTTTCCTAACAGGGATGCCTTTTTTCTTTTTGAGTGTTGTATATGTTCCATTAAATAAGATGTGAGACAAAAAGAAAGAAAGAAAGAAAGTAAAAAGTAAAAGAAAAAAGTAAAAGGAAAAAAAGAAAGAATGAAAAATGAAAGCAAGAAAAAAGAAAGAAAAAGAAAAAAAAAAAGAAAAAAAAGAAAAGAAAAAAATAAAAGAAAAAAAAGAATAAAAAAGAAAAAATTTTTTAGCAAAAAATTTAAAAAAAAAGAAAAATGGAAAAGAAAAAAAAAAAAAAAGAAAAAGGAAAGAATGAAAGCAAGAAAGAAAAATGAAAAGAAAAAGAAGAAAAGTAAAAGAAGAAAAGTAAAAAAGAAAATATGAAAAAGAAGGAAAAAAAGAAAAAGCAGAGAGAGAGGAGAATGTTTTTTATTTACTGACTTCATATGAAGTTGATATATATATATATATAATGTATTTCTTTTAAAAGAACAACAAAAAAAATAAGCCTCTCTCATGTACACAACATAGATTTATAAAAATCTGAATAAGATTTTACATTTTTATGTAAAAATTTTTTTTATATAAGATTTTTTTTATTTTAAAATATATTAAAATTATTAAAAATTAAAAAGAAGAAAAATGCAACACCTCAAAATAAAGAGATTCCCATGTATAGCATATATTGTAGTTCCATAGAATCTGTAATGTGTCTTTGTATATGAGTGAATGCTAAAAAGTCTTTGGCCAACCCCATTCCCAAATTCAGTGATCAAATATCAGAATTTTGGGAAAAGTTAAAGAAACTTGAGAAAAAAATTGAAAAAAAGAGTATTGAACTGCATATTTTGAATAGAATGTTCATTGGGTTGACTAGTATATTTGCTTTCTAACCATGAAATCTAAGTTCAAATCTCACCATGGTTAATTTGTTTGTCAAGGTGACTTCTTGATGTTATCAACTTAGAGAGACGATCCCAGCACATGGCACCTTTGGAAGGTGCCTAAAAAGTACACTATGGTTTAACCCAAGCTTTGGGAGTGAAATTGGGTAGACAGAATCATTCAGAAGCTGTTGATGGTTGTACTAACACAAAATCATAAGTCAGTGTAACTGAGGGCTTTAGCATACTGGCTTTGTTCAATCCGTTAATCATACCAGATTATGTGCTCTGTCCCAGAAACAGTAACTAAGGTCTGCTCAACATAGTTGCAGTATAAATCTCACTAGTGTGCTCTGTGGATTGAGCAGACATCTGTAATAGGGTTTGGTTAGCTCAGAAACAAATAGTAATTTGGTATATACAATTCATAGCTTGAGGTCACCTTGCGGAAAAAATTTTCAGCACTATCTTGTATAATTTTTAGTGTATACCCATATATGAGTAGATGCTCCATTCTTATTTTTAAACAATGTTTATTTCCACAATTTATATTTGAACTATTGTCTTCACTTTTGTTTTAAACAAAGTTGAGGACAATAGTCCAAATATAAAGAGTAAATAATGATAACTCCTCACCCCAGAAATTCAAACACATGTTTATTTGATCTACCAGCCAGTGCACTCAGAGGGCACATTTTCCTAATTAAGTTTTCTTGAGTGCACAGCCCGGTAGACAAATTAAATAAAGCTGTAAAACCTCAAATTTCCATGCAAACTTCATGTGCATTTCTTCACAAAGTATGAAATAATGGATTTGGTAGGTGTAGTGCTGCCCACAATTTTTTTATTTTAATGTCAAACAGTAATACAAAAAACGCCAAAAAACATTTAACATAGGATAAAATTATTGACCCTCTTGTCCCAGTAATCAATTGTGTAAAATTTATTCTTGATTATTGCCTTTAATCATTTTTGATACTTCCTTACAAGATCACTACACACTGATATTTTGCTCCATTCTTCCTTGGCAATAGCTTCTAGTTCCTCCAAATTAGAAGGACTTCTTTCTTTTACTTTTCCTTCAAATATGCCCATACATTTTCAATGGTTTTTAGGTCAGGACTTTGTGCCAGGTATGCTACTACCATAATTTTGCTGTAATCTAAATATTTTGTAACAATTCGTGCTATGTATTTCAGTTCACTGTCATGTTGGAACATCCAGTGACACCCCAAGACAATTTTTGTGCACTTTATTTTATATTATCTTTAAGAATAACCACATACTGCTCTATATTCATGATACTTTGTCCTCTAACTATTTCTCCTGGTCCAGAAGCAGCAAAACATCCCCAGAGCAGAATGCTCTCACCACTGTACTTAATTTTAGGGAGGGTATTTTTTGGTTTATGAGGTTCATTCACTTTCCTCTGTGAAACTGTACATCCACACAAATATACACACACATCCTCACATATGCTCACATACGTTAAATCAAATGTATATTGAATAAACGAATGTGATATGTTAAATGTCCGCTGATTGGATTGATTCGGCCAATCAGGGCAGGGGTGAGTGTAACCTTTTTTGCCGCCAAATCGTGGGGTTGTTCAAAATCCTATAAAAACTTTTTCCCATGAGAAAGCGGTTAGTTGCGGCCTCACACATCAAGAGACATGGCATGAATGTTCACAAGACAAACCTTCACCCAACTCACTCATTCTTACAAACCTAAATGTAAATATTTGTGAATATAATTTACTTTGATTCATGTCACAGATTGAATATGTGTTCATCTTATTTCTTCTCCTCTCTTGTCTGACATCAAGAGTTTTTAATCTTCACAAAATAAATAATAGGGGTACAGTCCTACATCTCCATACATAACAGGAGTTCATGTGACCAAATAATTCTAGTTTAGTTTTATTTGACCAAAAAACAGAGTTCCAATATTTACTCATATGTTCTCAATGGTTTCTAGCATAGGCTAATCTGCATTTTAAGTGTTTAGCCTTAAGCAAGGGAGCCTTCCTTGGGCAACAAGCTCAAAGTTCTGCTCAGTGAAAGTATCTAGTAACTGTCTTTGTTGATACATTCAACCCTGATGTCTTTACATCATTGACAATGTACTTTGTCATTAAGTGAGGATTCTTTGAGAGATCACTAACAATTTTCTTTTCTATTCTCTTTAACTGTTTTCTGCCAGTCTTTAATTTATTTTCAACACAATGAGTCTCATTCTACTTCTTGAAAATGCTACAAATTGTCAATCTAGGAACATAAATGCTTGGAAAGTGTTGTATATCAATCACCTTGTTTGTATACATCATCTATCTCCATGCAGAGCTTCTTATCAAGTTCATACATATTTGCTAAGATTGTATTAGGTTGATGCAAAAATAATGTCGTTTTTTGACGTTCAACTTCAAAAGATCATAACTCTTTTCATTATAAACTTTATTAATCGAAATAAGAACCAATAGAATCGACACATTTTTGCCAACGAGAAACAAGTTTATTTATCCCATTAGCATAGAAATCCGGAGTTCTGGAAGCGATGAAGTCATTGAAGGCCGATTCGGCATCATCTCGGCTCTTGAATCATTTTTCGCGCAGGAAGTTGTCGAGATGCTTGAAAAAGTGATAATCGGTGGGCGAGAGGTCCGGTGAATATGGCGGATGAGGCAGAGTCTCGTAGCCCAATTCGTTCAGCTTCTGCAGGGTCAGTTGAGCAACATGCGGGTGAGCGTTGTCATGGAGGAGAATTGGTCCCTTCATATTGAGTATTGACAAATCTCATGTACGTTGGAGCTTCTGGTGCATTTCGTCAATTTGTCGGCAGTACTTCTCCGCCGTAATCGTTTCGCCCGGATTCAAGAAGCTGTGATGGATGAGACCGGCCGCAGACCACCAAACAGTCACCATAACCTTTTTTTTCATGCAATTTCGGCTTCAGGAAGTGTTGTGGAGCTTCTCCGGCATCCAACCACTGTGCCGAACATCGCCGGTTGTCGTAGAGGATCCACTTCTCATCACACGTCACAAAAAACGCTCGAGAAATGGGTCGTTTTTGTTGCGCAGAAGGAGCGTAGAAGACACCTCAAAACGACGATTTTTTGATTATCGTTCAATTCATGCGACACCCATTTATCCAACTTTTTTTTTTTCCCTATTTGCTTTAAATGACGAACGACTGTTGAGTGGTCGACCTCGAGTTCAAACAGCAACTTTCTTGTGGTTTTGCGAGGATCGGCTTCAATTAAGGCTTTCAAATGTTCGTTATCAACCACAGTCGGCCGGCCGCGACCGTCTTCATCTTCGAAGCTCTCGTCACCATTGCGAAATTTCTTGAACCACTGTTGTGCCAGATGTTTGTTAGTGGTTCCTGGGCCAAACGCATCATTGATATCACGAGCTGTCTCGGCAGCTTTTCGGCCTAGTTTGAACTGGAACAAGAAAATCGTGCGGATTTGAATTTTGTCAATGCTGTCGAAAAGCCTGCAAAAAATGAATGAAGAGATTGAGTAACACGATTCGATAGAGCGAAAAACGCGCTTCAAAATGATATATAACATGGCTATATATATCAATGAATTAATTCAGAAATCATATATAAAAGTAACATATGTGAGAAAACGACATTGTTTTTGCACCAACCTAATAGAATGAATGAGTTATCACACTAAATGACTCTCACATATTGTCTTCTTTATTACCTTTTAGAATGTTACAGAATCAGGTGAATACTATTTCATTTTCAAAGGGTGTTTGTATTTAATATCAAATTAAGAAAAAAAACCTTATAATTGCTAAAGATCAATATTATTTCATAATTTCCATAAGGGTGTTGTGAATAATTTTGGACTGCACCAATCTTTAGAAAAATCTTTAACTATGAATTCTAAAAATTTCACAAATTATTCAAAACTAAATATGAACTCAACTATTTATGGTAAATTCAGTAACTCTAACACTTTCGCACCAGCCTCTCAACCTCCGACGTCTTACTCTCTGGGTTGAGGTGTCTACTCGGTCCTAACCGAACTTAAGGGAGTGGCCGTAGGTCCCCTGAGCATCCGTAGATTATTCAACCGGTCCACTGGTTTAATCCTGCTTTCTGCCCACATTGTGTTTGGTTTGATCCAGAAAGCAGAAGTGATATTCATCCATTCACGGTCGACTGAAGATGTAGACACGACTGGAGAGTCTGCGCTAAGAAATTTAGAATGCAGCAAAAAAAAAAAAATATTAATATCTGCAGAAAGCCGGACAAACATCGATTCAATGGTTGAATTGTTAATGTCTTTTATATAGCAGAAAAGAATAGTATAGAAAAGAAACGGGTTACAGAAAAGAAAAGTAATTGACGTAAAAACGCATACACTGGATTCTGGACAGAGAGAGAGAGAGTGTGTTATGATTAACTTGTTGTTAAATCGTCTCAGAACGATATACGACATTTGCGATGGGGGAATAAGATTTCTGTGCGCAGCTTAAAGTTTATAGTGGTGTTCCTCCTTAGCAGTAGTAACAGTAGTAGTAATATTCATGGTAGCAGAAGCA